CGCTGATGACGCCCAAAAAGGCAGAAAAGCTTCGTGAGTAGGGTCTGCGTTTGTCGGTAAAATACCAGATTGGTTTTTGTCAAATAATTAAAGATTTGGTGGTGAACTATCTTTTCTAGGATTTCGGAAATTGATGAGGTTCTATGAACAGCAGGATAGCTTGAATATTACGGATTGTTGCAATACTCGAATATTTCCATATGTCTGCAAAAGTTGCACTTGACGGAAGTAACGAAAATAGTTGCGAGTAGAATTAACGCGTATATCATAAGTTTAAGTATGCATGGGTGTTTTATCTGTCCCATAAGATGTATATTTATGTAGTTTACTGATAGCTCTTTCAACAGTTGCTTCGTTAAAACAGATTAAGCTAAGGGTACATGTTGTAACTTCAATGAGGTTGTCTAACTAGTTCTCTTTCGATTGTATATTTCAATACAATAGAACAATACTCATTAAATAATTTTATTAAGGGAAGACGGCTTTCGCCCTTGAGCTCCCCGTTCATATCCAAAAATTGCAAAAGAGTTTAACCTTAACAATAGTACATAATACAAATGTAGGCTTAACATCAACGACAGGTGTGAGCCAGTTGCGAAGTGCGGCTACTGACACTATGATCATTATTCCTGTCACAATTTCTCAGCAAATGAGAAACTGTGAAAGATATTTGCTATTTGGGTGTTGTTAATTATTATTTGTCCAGAGTCAGCGAGAATAATTTTAGTTCCTGATTTTTTGCTGCCGAAATATTTGAGCCGTTCGCTTGGAGGAATCTAATGCACGTTCTTCTGTCGCTACATTTTTATTTCGTTCTACGTTAGTAGCCATATCATGTGTCACTCTAATCCTTCGTGTTTTGGATGGATAACTAACATGGGGGTCGCGTAGCTGTTTTCTCAATGCTTTTAGTCTTTTTGAAAGAAATTTAGGACATTTAGTTTCTGATGTGGGGATATTTCATCTAATAATGTCTCTTATAGTGCAAGGTGTTGAGTATACGAGGTTAATTGATTCTGCAGGAGACGTTGTCATAAGGTATGGGCTTCAATCTAATGACACGCTGAAGCTGTTCCTGGCGTCTTGGTCTAGTTTTCTAGGATCAATATGGCTGTCATTAGACTCATGTGTTCATTTTATAGTAAGAGGGATCATTGATCATATTGCATTGTGATCACTTTTAAAAGTTATGCTGTCATAATCCGTGTATATTGGTCAACGGCAAGAGGCGTTTCGAACCCCCATACGCTCCCATCAACAGTCCTGTCTTACTGTATCGCAACAATCCTATCAAACAACCTCTTGATTTTTATAGAGCAATTTTCTTTTCTTCGGTTTTATTTCTATAAATTGAGGTTTCGCTTAACTCTGTCCCCGCTTTCGTGGTAGGAGTTTTTCTTTTAGCGGTTCCTCCTTAGCACATTCTATTTTTCAGAGAGTATTTAAAATTATTTTTGCTTGACTATATGCCAGCGGATATAAAAGTATTTGCCTTTAATGCTAAACACTTCTGCTGCTGCTTATGTGGTTGCTCACACAGAGTAGAAAATGGCAACCTTGTATTTATTTTTACCATAGCACTAAGTTTGTAGTCATGAGGCTCTCCAGGCCTTAAATATAAAAATGATTTATTTCGCATCGGAAGGCGGAAGGTATTGTTCAGCAGGAGACGATGGTTAGCGCAGGTTCGCAGAAAAAGGACACCGGTCTCGTGAAAACCTGCGCCAGGCGACCCTGTAAAAACAGTCAGTTCTCAATAAGAGCAGTGACTTCCAGTTCCTAGTGGTCCAGTTCTCAAACGACTGGCG